CAACAGCGCGGAGCACAATCCTTCTGCTGTCGTGGCGCCGTAATGAGTTTTCACGCTGGATTTCCGCCTCTTTGTGCGGCGGCGAGGCAGGCGGCGCCCCGGCCCTTTGCGGCGCTAACGGGGGACACGGCAGGGTGGCTGACCTCCTGACGGACGCCGGTTCGGGCTGGCCCGGCCGGCAGGGGTGCGCAGCTCGGTGTGTCACCCCAGAAGACCTCCCGACAGGGCAGCCATTAGCGACACGGGACGACGCCCGGCTGAACCCGACTGGCCTCCGCTGTTTGTTTCCGTTCCGACTTTGTTTTCTGACAATGGTGTGTCCAGGAGACGGCCGTGTTCGGCTGGCTCTCCCGGTGAACATGTTTATTGGGCCGGTCGCCGGTGAAGTGTTTATCGCCCGGCTGCACCCGTGCCGACTCGTGCCCGACAGTTTCCGAGGCTCACGGGTGGGACCGATGGATACCTGGGTGGCTGGACACACACGGAGTGTGCTCAAAGACGGCATTTTCTAGGCTATATCGCCAGTTAACAAATATCTTTCCTTGATTTTTATAACATCGCATCATTTCTGCTTGCCCATTGCATATTGCAAGTCGCAACAAAAACTGTGACTGGCGGAAAGACAAGAATATTACACACACAGTGGTTCATCATAGTTCGATCAATCCACATATCCTGCAGAGCCCATCACGAGCTTTTTGGAAGCGCTAACAGGCGGGATGTTATCTTCCAGAGAAGTTGCAGGATCATGTTGGTTCCTTGAGTCACTTCAACACCTTTGATTAGAAGAATAGCCTGCACTGAGAATTCCGTGTTAGCATACCGGCAAGAGCCTATCGTAATGTAACATACGGACGTCGCCTTTGCTTAGCGGCGTCACAAAATGGTCGTATGCCTTGTTGGCGTAAGCAAATGTGAAAAGCTTAATCTGCCATAAGAATTTATGGCAGCAATGTCATCTTAATACCGTTCAGCCGTAACAAGCACTATAAGGAAAGATAATCGTCATTTTGTGGCATATCGACGATTGAAGTGCGGTGTCTCCCTGACGGGGGTGGCATGTCCTTCCTAAGCAGACTTGAGAAAATGATGCTTCAATGGCATAAGAACTACAT